TATATATAATATTCTTTATTATGCGCGCGTCAGTTTTTCAAAGAAAACAAAACGTTATTATTATTATTATTATTACATACAACATCAATCTAAGCATTGACATGTTGATAATTTTTCATGTACGTACATATTCAATTGTCCTTTTTTTTTTTGCTTGTCTGTATTTGTGTTGAAATTTTCTTTTTGTTTTTTTACGGGAACAGTTTTTAGTAGACTCTCTAGAAGAACGATGGAAATGAAGAGAGATGCCTATCTTGATTTGATGTTGTTAATTGTGAATTGTCTGTTCTTTATTTGTTTTTTTTCTTTTTGTGGAACTTTTCTTTTTTTTTTTTTGTTTTTGATTTCTGTCGGTCTCACTCACGCGCGCCTGTATTGTTGTTTATCGACAAGAAGAAAAAAAAAAACAAATGATAACTAAGATTAATTGATATCAATGAAGTTCTCTATTAAATCTGTTTCATGGTGAGAGGAAGGTTTCGAAAAAACTAAACACGATATTTGTTAGGTTTCAGAAGACTATTGAAATTAAGTTTTTAAGAGTACTATCCTAAAGAACAAAAAATTTCTGAATAATATGATGAGTTGTCATACGTCTCATGGCGTTTTTTCTTAAAAAGTAATGAATAAAAGGATATGAACATGCTTCAGACTCCATAAAGATACATAGGTTATTTTTTAAGAATCTAAAAGAAAATGAGTCAGAGGTTCTTTTCTTTTTATGTTTCATATGATAATAGATGTAATAGTTTTGTATTGTTTGTTCAGCAACGTCACCAATGACAGTAACAAAGGTTATCACGACATGATGATGTGTGAAATGATGTCATAAAGTCTACACAAATATCAAACAATATGACTGATTCAAGCTGTGAAGTCATCGTGTTGTGCATCAGGATGCATTTAGATCCGAACATGGTAGCATTTAGAAAAAAATACACTATTTGATTTGAATATTTCGAAATGTAGATACTCATCGATAAGTATCAATGGTAGATCTGTAAATGCTATTCTTCAGTCATGTTTATGTTACTCATTTACAGATATACACTCATACTTCCAGATGTTTTGTACAATTCTGTTTGACGATGATTTTTTAATATTTGTTTTCTATTACGGGGTAAATCTAATGAATTTTTATTGAGAGTCGATTGTGATTGTAGCTGACTACAATAATGATTGTGTTCGAAAGATCTTGGCAGTTTTTCTGATGACTTTACTGTACGGTAAACTGTTAGTAGTAACTGATGACGAATAGAATGTTCATAATTTGATTCATGACGTACATAAGTACGATGTACCTTTCGTCTGATACAAACAGTGGAAGGTATGATCCATCTATAAGTGAGACGAGAACATAAGAGATTCGTTTTAAGGGGAGAGCTCGTGGTCCCCAGTTTTCCACAACAATGAACTCATTCAATAGAAAACAATTTTTATGTATATCCTTCAATTTCACGTTGCTCTGATGTACTGTGCTCAACTTATGATCACTTCAAGAGCAATTATTTTCACTTAAATGTTGTCCTTGAATGTACCAAGTGTATGACTGGTTTTTGGAAGTAAAATATTAGAGAAACAAAACCTTTTATACAAAAAATCAATTGAAAATTTTTTCTTCAGTGTTATAAAAGGTATATGTGAAGTCGTCATTATGTCGAAAGACATCTAATGTTGTTGTTGTAAATTCACTTGGACTGCAGTTCGTCTAAAATGAGTCATGTACTCTTTCGAAATAAGTACTCAAGATTGAAATCAATTTTTTTTATCTAAACTTAATAATAAACAGCATATTCAAACAAAACATTATAAAGAGATTATCTGTTCGTAAAAGTCGTTGAGAATGGCTTTATTTCAACGTTGACATAGTTAATGTCGTAGTTACACGACAGCTAGTTAATGTCATAGGGGTAGAAGTCGAAGGGCCTTATGTGAGAAGAGTAGGTTGACGAGGGCAACTAAGGCTTACATTTTTCGACACTGATATCATCAAACATTAACGATATAGCAGTAACTATTTCTAATGAGGCATTGAAATAGTACGTCATTGAACAAGGGTTCTTTGCACCCACATCCTTCACCTAAATCCTCAAGATAAGAAAAACCATGTCTATGATCAACCTAATAGATATCAACGATTTGTTGATGTCTAATAATCGTCGATTTCAATGATGAGGTTGTTACAATAGTAGGATTAGTCGGACAACCATATCAATTTTTATATTTCTGTGATTTGATACTTGATCATAACTGTAATAATTAGTGTATAAAGTTTGTTAAACCGCGTCATCAGAAACACATTTAGCTTGTTGAATACATATAATTGATTTATCATAATAATTCGATATCGACTTTAACGGCAAATGATAGAAAAGTTTCATCATTATGATCGATTATCAAGTGATAATGCGTATACAAAGAGAAAGTATGGACATAAATAACTCAAATGTCCTAATCGATCCGATGTTTTTTTTTTTTTCTTAAGTACAGTTGGCAAAAAGATTCGTTTCGGACAGTTTTTCATTATTAGAGATAATTCTATCATCATATAGTAGTCTGTAAAAAAAAACAGATGATGATTGATTTTCGAGATTTAATTTACTAAGTGTTGTTGTCTCATCAACAAGTTGTCTTTCGATTGAACTGTTCACCATACGATGATAATCAATGCTCATAAATGTAAACATTTAACAAATGATTTCTTTTGTTTCAAATAACTGTTATTGAATGACATTGAACCTTCAGGATTTTAAAAATTCCTTCGATGGAAAAGAAAAATCTATTTCAAATTCTGATAACAATAATAAGCAGCAAGTAAAGTCTCCATTTTTATACATAGATTTTTCCATTTTTTGTATTCTTTTATAATTATTATTTGTTAACTAGTATTGTTGAATATTGCTGAATTCGATTAAACGAATATAAAAGTACTCTCTTGTGTATTTTCTGATGTGTACTTATCAATACGTCTAACTACTTCATATACATGTATGATGAATATATTTTCCTAAATTCAATTAATTACATAACATCGAAGTTAAAAAGAGAACATACTCACTCTCTAGTGACATTCTATATCGGTCCATTTGCAACTTTATTGTGATAAAGATTTTATCACAGATAGTTATTATAGATTTCAATGATGTTATTCGTTTAATAAAACACCACTAAAAACTTGATACCTTCCATTTGGAAAAAAAATCTTTTTTTTTTTGTCAATCAGAGAAATGAAATATAATCTTATTACATACAATCGAAAAAGGATTTGTTTTATTTCATCGCATATCGAATTATTCTTGTCAATATTGAAGGCTAAAGTATAAACTGATCAGTAATATTTTTAGTTAGTGTCCATAATGTCTTTGTCAATTTTTACTTTTTGTTTGAACAGTAATCTGTTAATGATATAATCTTTGACAAATTCTTATTATCATAGTTGAGAAAATTATAAATATTGCTTAGATATGACGATGACTAAATTGGTTTTATCCTTTCAATGCACTATGAAAATAGATGTTTTTTTATTTACACAAAGCACAACGAAATTTAGCTATGTTCTTGAGTTCATAATCAAAACTACACAAACTGACAGTGAAAAGAGCTAAATAGATTATATTCAAGAATGCATCACTCGACATAACATCCATTAGCAAACAGCATCATAGATATTCTATTCATATGTTAGAAACTATTGATAAATATCTGGAAACCTTTTATTGCAATGCATTTTCGATCAGTTCAAATTATGATTGAATTATTTGATTTTGAAACTTTTACATAGTTAAATATTTTGTAGTCTATACATTCGAAAAACACTATCATTCATCAGATTTATAATGATTGTTTTTTTTTTGTATAGTGACTTTGTTAAAGTTATGAATATAAAAAAATAATTTTGATGGTTTGAAAGTTTTAGTTATTCATGAATTAAAATCTTGTCTACATATTTGTAATTGTAGATTTCAAAACGACTAATATTAACATAAAATTTTTCTCAATATAAATTTTTTTAATTTTTAATCTTTTTGTTCTTCAATGATGTTTCAATTGTTTTAACTTGTAAAAAGTTCGAAAATCATTTAAATACAATAGTAGCTATGTGCTACAATTTAACCGAGTCATACTTTTATTCTTTTGATTACATTAAGAATATTCATTCGCTAAAAGTTTCAACATGATGATTCATTCTGAATAATAAAAGAAAAGAAAAAGATTTCTGACAGAAGAATGGATGTTAATTATCATGTTCATATAATATTCTATAAATAATTCAACAATAGGATTTTTGATGACATATTGAATAAATCAAATAATAAACAAAAAAAAAAACATCTGTCTCATAATTACTCATCATCTATTGAAATAATTTGCTTATAATAATCAGAATCGTTATAATGATTTCGATCAGTACATATCTGATTAATTTAATCAATACACTATATCGTTTTCTTTTTCATCTTATCTTCCAAGACGATAAAAAAAGTAAATTACCTTGAAATTTTTTCTCTTTTTACAATAACAAACTTGACCTTGTTATCAATGTCAAATCAAAGTATTCATGTGAAAGGAGAACAGACAACGTTAGACAATTGTTCTATTATGTTTACTTCAAGGTTTACGCCTTCACTCTCACTCTCTCATTATACAGAAAAAACGACAAAAAAAAAAGTGAGACTCGAACTTCGAACATACACACACACACACACAAATAAATATTTTCATAGCAGCAGTATTTGTTTTTTTGTACAACCTGAAGAAAAAGAAAATGAACACACGACTGTTATTGAAATAAACAGGAATAGGAAGAGATCAATTATAAGAAGCACAGTATAAGTAGATGTACAGAAAAAAAAACCTCTACAAACGTCTACTACTGTTATTGTCTTTTGCAAATAAAAAAAAAGAAAGAAAAGTCACACTTTATCACAGAAAAAACTGCAAGAATAAACGAACACCAACAAAAAAAAACCAACAAAAAAAAAAAACAGAAAGATTATTTACTAATCATATACTTTTAATGAAACTAAATTATTATTATCATCTAATAAACGATTTTTATGTGTGTTATATGGTGCTGGTAATTCAAGTGTAGTTACTAGTTGTTCACTATTAGTATTATTATTATTATTAGCCGTAATAGTAGAAGCAATATTAATACTATCATTATGATTATAAGACGGATTAAAAGTATTATTATGTAATAGTCGTGCTGTAGTTGTAGATGAATTATTTTCTTCATCTTTCAATGGACTTATACGTCGTGTAGGTACAGGAGCAAATTTAACAGCTGATGTTGTAAATACGGATGGTGCAACAGTTGTTGTTGAATTTGGAAAATATGGTGTAACATTAAGTTCAGTTTTTGTTGGTGATGTATATTTATAAATTTTTTGACATTTAGCATCATTTAATGTTAAATCAAAATCATTTGAAATAAGAAATGTTGATGGTATTATTGTTGTTGTTGTTGTTGTTTTTGTTTTTGTTGATTCAGATGATAAAGGTAATGATAATGGTTGTGTTGTTGGTAATGAATGATATCGATCAGTATTATCATATGTTGTTGTTGTTGATGATGATGAAACTGTTTGTTGAGAGTTTCGATTATTAACAGATGATCTTTGTAATCTTTCATTTGTTGAATGTTGATCATCAAGAGATAAACTTACTGGTCGTCGATATGTTGGACGAGATAATAATAAAGATGAATCTGTTTTAGTATTGTTTGATGAAAGATACCGTGTAGATATTGGTATTGCTGACGCACGATTACGTCGTTGTTGTTCTTTATTTATTGATGTATTGTCACGTAATCGAGTTGTATCAAAAAATGAACTTGTATGAAGTTCAAGTTCAACAAGTGAATTTGCTGTTGATATGGAATTATCAATTATTGTTGATGATGATGGTGGTGGTGGTGGTGATGACAATAGTGATAATGGTTGTGCTGGTGATCGTAAATGATTTGTATCATAATTATTTAATGTTTTTTGATCAATAAGTGAAAGAGATGATGATGTTGTTGAATTGTATGGTATAGAAAGAATAGGTCCATGTGCTAACCATTTATGACGAAGAATATCTTTTGTTGTAGCACGATTATTAGCATCGGGTTTCAAGCAATGTTGTATAAGTGAAAGTGCACCTATGATATTAATGAAATAAAATAGAAAAACAAAAAACAAGTTAAAAAATAAGCAATCCATCACCAAATAAAGGTTTTTTTTGTTTCGCGCATGCTCAAGCATAGGATTTGATTAGTCTCAGATTTGGTAAAGAAATAGATGAATGGAAGAAGACAAAAAAGAAAAAAAAAACAAAAGACACAAAGAAAAAAATCGAAAACAAAAACAAAAATATTTGAGATTCTTATATGAATTTATTTCTATTGAATTATTGTGTACGTGGAGGATGTTTAGATGATATATCCCCATTATGTCGTTCTTTAGATGTCCGTCGGCTTGTTTTTGAAATTTGATCAATTTGAGTATTTAATCGATTTGTTCGTGTGATTAAATTATATCCATTGGTTATGGGTGTCGACTTCATTTGAATATCTGTTTTATGACCATTTTGAACCGGTAATGATTGAAAATAAACAGGTGCTGATGGTTTAACAGTTTTTGAAGTAGATCGAGTAGTTTTTATTGCTGATCCATCATATGCTATTGCTGGTATATCTGATGGCATAAACATCCCATTTTGTTTCATTGACGGTGTAAGATAATAATGAACAGGTGGATATTTATAACCAAGATTAACCCACCAATGTGTCGCAATATCATCAATAGTAAAACGTTTTGATGGTGATACCGTTAAACATTTACGTATAAGACCGAGTGCGCCTATAGATTTGGTTTTTTTCGATTTTTTAAAAAAGTTTTTTTTTTTAATAATAGAAAAATTTCTATAGTGGACATAATCATCTGCTAAGTTCTCTTAGATTATCGCTTTATATCTCTTAAGTTTTAGGATAATTCTGATTACCTGATTGTTCACGTGGTTGTATAAAATCGCCTGAAGTTATATTCCGTACAAGTCGATTATAATCACCACCTTGAAAAGGCATTGAACCGAAAACAAGGGTATAGAGTAATACACCCAATGACCAACAATCAACCTTAAAAATTTATAGGGTTTTTTTTTTACCTTGAAAAGAACAAAAGAAAAAGAAATACATACTTCAGGACCGTAATATGGAATACCGGAAACGATTTCTGGTGATGCGTATAATGGTGATCCACAGAAGGTATGTCTGATTAAAAACTAGAAGATCATATACATTGATAAAAATCAATAAACGACAACATACAATAGTCGACGAGATGACCAACTATTACTTAAACCAAAATCAGCCAACTAATAAATAAAAATGATGTTATTTTATATATATATATGTATATATATATATGTATGTAGCTTTGCTATATAATAATAATTAATATTTACTTTGATATCACCATTATGATCAATTAAAATATTTTCTAATTTAAGATCTCTATGAACAATTTGATTCTATAAGTTTTAAACATGAAAAAATTATTTATAATCAAAAATATTTTTCTATACTTTATGAAGAAAATGAACAGCTGAAACTATTTGTCGAAAAATAGCTCGTGCTTGAGATTCTGGTATACGTTTCATACGATTAAGATAATCATATAATTCTCCACCACTTGCATATTCCATAACAAGAATAATTTTTTCACGACTTTCATAAACTATTTATATAGAAATAATTCAATAAAATAAAAATAAAAAAAATTTTTTTTTTTACCTTCTTTTACTTTAATAATATATGGATGATTAAGACTTGTCATAAAATCAATTTCACGTCGAATTCTTGCCAAATCATGTGGATTTTCAATACGTGATTTTTTTATTGTTTTTATTGCAACTTGTTCATTCTTACGTTTATCTAATGCTAATTTTACTTTTCCATATGTACCTTTACCTAATGTCTGTTTAAAATCAAAACGACTATGTAATGTTTCACGTTGTTGTCCACTAGCATTGGTATTACTTCCACTACTGCCTGTATGTTCTTGGGATGATGGTGGTGTTGTTGTTGATTCTCCAAAACTATTAAGACTTCCTAAGCTAGACCAATTTGAATTGCGCATACGTTGACGTCCACTTCCATTAGGATCACCATTTGACATCCTATGAACACGAAATGAATATGAGAAAAGAAAGAATATGAATATGAAAATATCTTCCTTTCTTTTCTCTCTCTCTCTCTCTCTGTTTCTTTTTGTATGGTTAATGAAACCTTCAATTATACAGGCAAATGACAAGCCCATTTCAAATTGAGCGTATGATGAAATCAGTTTTTAAATATATACATATATATATATATACATATATATATACGTATTTTGCATGCTATGAAAAAAATAATAATTTCATTTTCTTGAAGCAAATCACTCACTGAACAATATATTGAGTTCTTTTTTTTTCTCTTCTTCCCTAGTGGGTATATGTATTTTTACCTGCTGCTAGTTAATGTTTGCGAATAATAATCTGAGAAACCGATTGAATCAATATCAGAACTTTGTAAGGCAATCATTATTTGTATTTCTTTTCTTATATAATAACTCGGGTATACTCGAAAATGTAAAAAATGAACTATAGTGATGTATTATTATGTATGTGTTCTTTTGTATGAAAAGAGAAGAAGAAAATGAAGATAGTCCGATTGAAGAGATGGGAGAGTTATTTAATATGAACGTGTGCCTGTACAATTTTTGCTTCTGTCGTCATCATCGTTGTCCATGTAATCGGTGCAAAGTATCTTTGAATCGATGGTATGCACGAGTATGCGAAAGAATAACGGCGAAAAAGAAAAAAAACGAAGTAGAAGAAGAAGAAGAAGAAGAAATGAACTGGTCAGATGATGATTTTATGTTTCAACAACAGAAAATCGCGTTTCATTCGTCATCTTCTTTTCTTTTCGTTCTTTCTTTATGTATTTTTCTTTTGCAAACTTCTTTTCTCATATGTGTACTTGCCTTAACAAATATGAAAGCGAACGAATATATATGAACTGATACTTGACAAGGCAGCAAGGTGAGGACAATGTCTTTTCTTTTTTCTTCTTCTCGCTTCAAAGTGAAACCACAAATGAAAATGTGAAGGAGAAAGAGAACCAAAATTGAAGAGAATTTCTCCTCTTAATATATATATACATACGCACAATGATCTCTCAAGTGTAACCAATGTGTATGTCATCGTTGTTCTTTTTATTATAAACTGTAATTATTTCTTTTTTTTTTTATCTATACTAATCCATCACATATCTGGATGAATATAGTTTGTAAATCTCAACACTAGATTAATGTATATACAAAGAAAAAAGATAAAACTATAGGTTGTACTTGACTAACATCATATTCAATTTTAATTATGCATCATATTTCATACTGATAGAGAATAGTATAGAAAAGAAAAACGAAAGAGAATTTAACAATAAACAGATAGTAAAAAGACCATGCAATTTGAATGTAAAATATAATGTCTTACTCGGCTAATAAATCATCAATCGAATATGAACGTTGTTTATTACGTTTTAATTTTGCTCGATATGAAATTATTTCAGATACCATAGTTATATATTCGACGAGTGTAAATAATATGTATATTATTAATATTTTTAAAAGTTCTGTACATTGAATGATGTAAAAAAATATATAAATGAAAATCGATAACAAATAACTGTCATATCACCTATTTTCTAATATGTATACATATTATACATATATCGAAATATGTATATGTAAATGAAAAGAAAAAAAGAACCTTCAAAGTTTTATTATGCCAAAGCAAAATGTTATTAGTTGAGAGAACCAGCAGGTGATAGAACAAAGTGCGAACAAACGAACAAACCTGACGTGATATTTTCTTTTTAATTATATCATACATTTTTGATGAAAAAAAAAAAAGAGCTAGGAGTATATGAAGAAAAAAAGAAAGAGACAAGACTCCTTACAAGAGGAGATACCTTGATGCACATAGAAATACTTTCATGATTGACTAGAGAAAGAAAAAAGAAAAGAAAAACGAGCGACGAAAAAAAACGGAGCTATGAAAATGAACAAATAGATTGATAACCCTAGGTGAAATAATAAATGTATCTGCAATCATTACTTCGAACATTATATGTTCAATTAGATACTATTTAAATCATACCCTATCGATTTCATATGTATATATATAATGTGTCGTCGAAAATGAAGAAAACAATAGATTGTTGTATTTGAATACTATAAGAAGACTGGTGTGTTGTATTTAGTTTGCTTCTAGCGATGACCTTATCAATATTACGGCAAGAGACAAGAGATAAACAGAATAGAAAGAAAAGCTGGTGCAAAAAAAAAGCGCGAGAGAAAAAAAAAGATGGTACAACGGCGATTAATCGTAGAAAAAAAAAAGAACAACGAAAAGGAACACTATTCTTCAATAAACCTTATCTTAATTAAGCAAGAATTTATATTATACAATATATAATATTATTTATGAAGAATTTTCCCTTAAATAAATATGTTTCTTTTTTTGATTATTGCGTTATTTTGATATAAGGCGTTAATGACTTTCTTTCATAGATATCGATCTAGATTTACGCAAAGTGAGATAGTTTTTTTTTCTTCCGATTATGCACAGTTGGGGTGTTATGTATTAGAGTAATATGACAAAAAAAAATGGAAACATTTGACTTATCCATAAGTGTTGTATCGGATATTGATTTGTTCGCTTAAGAAACATAGATAAGAGGCTTACTTACGGCAAAATATTATTTATTGATGATCGTTGTGGACTGATCCTTGAATAGATTGGTTGTTGTTGTCGTGCATATTGATAATGTAAAATATCTGAGCATGGTTCATTTGGAAATTGATGACGTCGACGTGACGAAGAATTACTAGTCCTAGCAGCATTATAATTTTTACCAAGTGATCGTGGCCATCGTGTATACGACGATGATGAATAACCTGTTGTTGTATCATATTGTGAATCAATAGTAGATGATGGTATATGTGACGGTTGCGAAGATGGAAACAGCATTGTTCATTAGTCTCTAATGTCTTCGTATGTGTTCTAGCTGCGGCTAGAATAGGAATAAGAATAAGAACAAGAAGAAATGATCAAGCACTAGTTGTTTGGTGAACTTTCTTTTCTTTCGAACACAATTTTTCTCTCTTTTGCCAGCCTTCTTCTCTTTCTCGCAAAACGCACACATTTCTCTTCCGTCTAATCGTTGCTATACAGAAGGAAAAAAAAAAGAGAGAAAAAAAAGTAACTTCTATATTCACAAATTAGTCAAAAAAAACCCCCCTACTGATCAAAGTCAAATGAATGTGCTGAGAAAAAGAAAAGATATCTTTTATCATCGAACGATACACAAACAAATAAAAACAAAGGAAACGATAAAACACTGCGATACTGTTAGCAATATATATGTAAACAACGAATACGTCTGTTTGTAACTCATACTGTCATGTAATAAAGGCTTTTTTTTTTAATGTGCATAACATAAACGAGAGTAAAGACAAAAAAGAAAAAGAAAACAAAAAAAAATGTAATCATATCTCTATGTGCACGCCTTTTATCACTATTATGGGTTTCTATTTATGATAAATAAATCTCATCTAAATTGCGAACCATCGTATATCATCATATGTGTCGTAACTAACTATTTTTATGATTGAACATATATACATTGCTCCTCCCCTTATGACAGTCAAACGAAAAAATATACATCAATATAAGGATTACTTCTTTTAAATATAAAGAAATGTAATCATATAACTAAGGCTTTGATTTATGATTTAAAATTTTCTTTTTTTTTTTCAAACCAATCTTTTCGTTAGTGTTCGTTTTTTTTATTTGCAAATAAATAAATGAGTATTTTTGTTTCTTTTATATGTCATAGTGATTTCAAAGTATGTTCTTATGGATACTGATTTTATCTTAATTATTACTTTCTAAATCTTTGACTTTTATAATGTATTCATTTCTCATAGTCGATAAATAAAACATTCTTTTGTTATCGCCGACATTTAGTTAAGATTAACGCTCTTTTGTAAAATTCAATCTGAAAGAAATATTGAAGTATGAGGATAGAAATTTTGACTCCCTATAGACGTGACAAACTTAGTCACGGAACTAATGTTCTCTATGAGATTATGATGAAAAAAAAATTGAATTTAAGATACTTGTCTTGGATTTCCTTTTAAAACTCACTGAAACGTATTACGAATAATATCTTTCATCATAGACATATCACTATGTTCGAAGCTCCAAATTGCAACATATTTTAAGGAATCCTTTGATTTACAATATGTACAAATCGATCGTATTGTATGTTTTCATTTCATAGGAATCGGGATAACAGATTAATTTTTATCATCTTATATCACATCATATTGAAAACTAATAAAAAATTCTTCGCTCTTATTATTCGAGAAATAAACAATTTATTTCAAATATTTGAAAAAAAAAATAGAATTAATGTAAAAGATGATTCAACAGTTATAGGCTTTCTGAGTAAAATATTATCAATTCTTGTTTAGTGCAAATGTAAAGACACTCAAACTAGGATACATGATATCTTGCAAATAGATACATATTATCCTTATAATCTTTTATATCTCTTGTTCTACTAATCCTATTTAATAAATATCTATTATCAAAATACAAGAAAAAAAAAACCATTAGAGAACCAATGACGTTATGACACGCATTGTAGATATACTCAAAATCGATTTATTTAAAACATGAGATGATGACAATGTCGAGTTAATAAACATCAATATTCAATAAAAAAAAAACCGATCGCAACGACATGAAAATAATTATAAACTATTGTATTGTTTACAATGGTAATTGTGATCAAAATTAATCATTGTATTTATCACCTATGACTAAAAATATTGATTTTTCATACTTAGTATAGAAGTACAAATTTCTCCAGATTATCAATCTATTTATCTCTCATATTCTTTAAACTAAATATACAAAATTCAATTTAGGATAATATTCATGTATTTTCAAAAGATTAGACACTAAATTTTTAAGCCTTTGTATATTTTTTATAACCGAAAACAAGTCATGATCCTAAATGAATCCAAAATTTTCTGATCAACCTACATTTATATAATTGTTGAATCGGTTTCTTTTAATACAATAGTTGCATTTCTATAGAGATTAATAATACAAAGAAATCCAACAACGCATTCGTATTGTTCTCTCTATTCTAGACAATTAATCTTTTTTATAATAGATACTTTCATGAAATATTCTAAAGAATTCATTTAACATGACATTCTATTATGAGATACTTATATGAAAAATATTAATTCTTATTGGATATATAAAATACATTTACATATTTCAACTCGGAAAAAGACAGCAGTATAATTATAGCTCGTGATACTGTTGTTATCATCTCTGACAGTCAAAAGGTGAAAACATTATGTCATCAAGAATATTTTTCTCATGGATAAGATAAAAAAATTGATATGCATAATTATCGAGTATATTGTAAATTTCGAAATGCAAACGAGAACTCTCTACATGTAAATAGAAAAATTATTTCTAACTAAATATATCTCTATGACATTTGAATACATTTCAATTGGTAAATAACATATGATCATAAGAATATAATTGATCATATTTTTAGATTCAAAAAAAGAAAACGACAAATATATTTGACATTCGTATGACAAGATAGTAGAAACCAATAGAATAGTTGTCGTAATCATCTATTCGAGAACTATCATGAACTATTAGTTATATGACATGTAAAACTATATGATCAACAAATAATTTAAAATGAATCAAAACACATGAATAGAATAAATGCAAAACAAAAAAAAAAGACACAAAGATTATATTACGAACTATTGATGAATTATGTAATAATTCAAGATGGACAATACAAAAGTCACATGTATCTGGTCAACAATTGACAATTTACAAAATATTTTTAAACAAAAAAATATAATACAAAGAAAACAATGTCTAGTTTTAATTCATTAAGAATTAAACCAACTCAAGAATTGGAAAAACAACATAACATTTAATGATTTTCGAAACTATAAAATCTAAAGAATAAAATGTAGCGGAGAATAGATATGTTATACACTCATCCTCGGACAATAGAAGACCTATCTCAATTTATTCATTTCTCCTAAAATTGAAACTGCAAAATATGCCTAGTTTTTAGGATTTTGAGGTGAAAATCTTAAAAAGACTGATGACAACCTTATTTCTCGACTTTTAAAGCAATAAAAATATCTTGCCCTACCTTCAAAATCGTGTTTGATTTCTAAAAAAAAAACTGTTAATTAAAAAATCATAGAAATAAATTGGACGCAGCAGAAGACCTGAAATCTTCTATTGCAACGGTTTGGGGTTAGTTCAACGAAAGTTTTTGTATTTCATATTTATATGTCATATCAGTCAAATAGTGGTTGTGGTTTTCTAATTAAAATTTGTTCTGATCGATTTCAGCAAAACGATCATAAAAAAGGAGGCTAAACTCCGAGGAGAAAAAAATCTTAGTCAAAACCCTGATCACATTACTACTTGAAAATCTGACACG